ACATCTCCTTCAAAGAAGCGACTGTAGGAAGCATAGTTGACAACCTCCAGCTGCCACTTCTTTGGCTCTGCCGTAGTGGTCATGCCAAGGCCATACCCATCTGCTCTCAGACTACGTTCAGGACTTAATTTACCACACTCATCACCCCTGTCTGTCTCATTGATGAACCAAGTAGAAATCTGCCTAGGGCACTTTTCTTAGGACAAGTTTCACATAATGCTCTCTACCCCCAAACCCTCTCCTGGCCCTATAGGAACTGGTGAGCCATTGCCTGGCTCCCTGCCTTCCACCCCAACCTTGCCCCTTACTGGACTGTCCCCAGAGAATTGTGCCACATGGCCCTCAGGTCCATGAAAGGAAAGCTGCTGGTTTCCCCATGTTCCCTGTGCTTTGGTCAGGAATTGGGGCAAGACTATCCTCTGGCCATCGCTATACCATTCCTCATCGTCCTCCCTCTTTTCTAAGGTGGCACTCCTTTAGAGTGTGTGCTGCTCATCTCACTACCCTCTCTCCCTCCCCACTGTTATCATCCTCTGACCCCCTCCCCACGTTGGAGCTCCCTCATTCATGTATACTGTGGCACCCAGCTCCTGGCCTTCCTTTCCACCCCACGTCCTGTCATCATCTTGGATGAGTTCCATGGCCATCCCACACCTGGTCCCCAGGCCCCCAGCCTCCTCCCATTTGATGAGCTCCTCAATGTCCCTTGGCTGCTTATTCCCAAGGGTGACTTGGGGCTTGTTATTGCCCCAAACCTGCTCAATACCTGCTCAGCCTTCCTCCTTTCTGACCACGTCCCTGTCCTCCTAGGTGACATTTGTGCTATAGTCACCCGTACCTTTTCTTTTTAACCTGAGCAATTTACTTTAACAGCTGCTTTCTCCTGTAGCTCTCCAGCTTATTTCCCCAACCATCCCTTCAGTGTACACCATCCATCGCTATGACAATGTCCTTGTCAAAATCCTGACCTTTTACTTCTTGTTTCCTGTAAAAAATGCAGCCCTTGATCGGTTGCGTGCTGCGAGGGACCATCACCAATGAGACTGCAGGAAAGCCCAGGGCTTGGGGGAGTCTATTTGCAGCTGTCACGGGTCGTAAAGAAACATACTTTTAAGAGGCAAAGAATAATATCGGTGAGTTTGGGAATACTGGAATGGAGGATTTTGTGAATGAAGGAAGAAGGAGTGGGGATGTAAACAGGAGAAAGGAACTACAGAGCGTTATGGGGATCAGAAAAGAGGAAAATAGAATTAACTAGGGGAAGCCCTCAGCTATTTTGGGCAGCAGTGAAGTAACCCCTGGATGGGTTTATTTATTTGGCCACAGTGTTAACAAGGTAACAAATCTCCATTTATTTTTGAAAGATGGTGGAAACTCAACCCATTCCATGTTTGTCTGCTGCCTGGAAGGAGGAACTGTCCAGGACCAGGGACTTTCACCTTGGAGTCTTTTGAGGGCAGAAGAAAGTAAACAGCTATGAATGAGTGAGAAAGAAGATTGTTGTTTGAGGAAATGCCCTGAGCAAGTGGGAGGGATGTGAGGACAAACAAGGCTCTAGGCCTAGAGAGAAGGAAGGACAACCCTTTCATCAAATGCAAGGAGAGGATGAAAGGATGAAATTATCAGTCACCTAAGTGGGGCTCACGTCATTTTAACAATTCCCAAATCTCAGGGTCTTTTTTTTTTTTTTTTTAAAGATTTCATTTATTTATTTGACAGACAGAGATCACAAGTAGGCAGAGAGGCAGGCAGAGAGAGAAGGGGAGGCAGGCTCCCCGCTGAGCAAAGAGCCTGATTTGGGGCTTGATCCCAGGACCCTGAGATCATGACCTGAGCTGAAGGCAGAGGCTTTAACCCACTAAGCCACCCAGGCGACACCCCCGCCCCAAATCTCAGGGTCTTAAAGCAACTAAGTTCTTCCCTGTTTGTGCTATGTATTCAACATAGGTTAGCAAGGAAACTACACTTACCAAAGGAACATAGGCTGATGATCAACCACCATTTTGCATGTTGAATGGCTCCTGAGCCTCAGAGGACTCTGGAAGGTCTCCTGTTGGAGGTTCCAGCTTGGATGTGACACGTGCTCCTTTCCCTCACAAGTCACTGGCTAGAATTCGTCTCTCTCATTCTCCCTCTCTCTCCCACCCACACCCACACCCACTTACCCACGAGGGGGCGAGGAAGTGCAATATACACTAATTGCTTCTACAGCATTTTGTGCCTGGTGAGCTTTAGTTCTAGAAATCACACGGAATGCCTGTGCTGGAAATAACCTCAGACAAGCCAATATCTGCCCAAGATCACACAGAGAGCAGTAGCAGGATGACTGGGAGCCAGATCTCCTGTTTCCCAGTCCCTCTGTTTAATGGCGGCCACGACTCTAAAGTTTTATCTTCAGCAAGGTTAAGAACTCCGTGGAGTTCTCCCTTCACTTGGAGTAATTAAAAAAAAAAATTACTTTCTACTTTAAGTAGCTCTACACACAAAGTGGGGCTTGAACTCAAGATCCCAAATCAAGAGTTGCATGCTCTACTGACTGAGCCAGTCAGGTGCCCCAGAATCATTTTTGTTAATGCTTGCCCCCAAAGTGTTGATTGTATCCTTGGTTATTGTCAGTCCTGCCATGTCCACTAGAATTACACTTGCTTTCTTCCCTGGGGTCATGTCAGCTGATGAAACCTCTAGCTGCAGAAGCCTCTGTAGGAGCACTTTGTGGTCTTCCCAGCCTGATTTGTATTAAGCATGAGACCAGCAGATTGTGCATATTCTGCATACTTTTCCTCCATTTCTCATCAGAACTTCTGTTACATAATACTTTGTCTATCTCCTTTCAGATAGATGGCTTTCCAGAGCTCTATGCTCCCACAGCCCCCATGCTTCCTTCTGTAATAGCAGTCGATATAAAAGGACACTCATTACACCTGAAGCACCTGAGCAAAGATAGGTTCCAGCTCTGGGCAGGCTGTGCAATGGAGAGAACCGGGCCAAGAACCCCAGCAGGCCTTTCTGCATAGCTGTCCATGACTGGAACTCTGAAGGACAACCAGGAAAGGGACAGAGAACCTGGGGCTTATAAAGGACATATAGGTATATAATAAAAAATTCTGGCAACCCTGGTCATACTCAATGACGTGATTGTACAGTCCCATAAGACTACCTCTCAGAATGGTTCCTTAGAACATTCTTTGCTTAGAAAATGAAAGAGATTTGATTGCTCCAAATGTTGGAGCTCGATTGAGGGTAGACTTCAGAAGCTGGGGATATTGGAGTTGGTGGTTTCTTACAAGAAGGAGGAACTAAGTAAGGAGTTACTGGATAGTAGTTTAGAATGAAAGTTCTCAAACCTTTAAGGATCATCTGACTACTTCACAGTTTATAGGACAATAAACAGTGAATGCCATGTAGCCACTGGAAAAAAGAACGCAGATCTTGATGTTTAAATAGGGTAAGATTTTCAAACCATAGTTTTAGGTGGGAAAAAAAAGACATTCACAGGTTATACAGTGTGCTACCATCTCTGTAAAGACAAAAAGAAACCCAAAAAATCCCCAAGGTTGGGGAGAGTATGTATGTATATGCTCAAAAATGGATATTTGGAAGGGTATAGGACACTGGTAAATGGTTGTTTTCTTAGAGGGCAACTGGGAAGATTGGTGCAGGAAAGGGCCACTTTTTTTTATCTTTTGAATTTTGTGCCATTCCTCGTTTTAAAAGTCAACAAACCAAATGCCATGTGGTATCCTGAAACAGTAAAACAGGTATTACTGGGAAACTGGTGAAAGAAGAATAAAGTCTGTAGTCTGGTTAGTAGTATTGTACCAATGTTAATTTCCTAGTTTTAGCAAATTACCAAATTTAACTTTTCTGGTGGCTGTTGTTTCCTTCTTCATAATTTCATCCTATCCAGTTTTTACCATTAAGATGCTTAGAGAAAAATTTGCAACTTCTGGGATTTTCTCACATTGGTCCTTGTGCTTGGACATTCCTCATTCTTTTCTTGTTTTCAGAAGCTGTACTCATCTTCTAAGTTCACTAGTTCCTTGCTCTGAAATGCTTAACTCTCCCAGAGATAGGACATGTAGCTTTTGACAGTTTCCTACTGTTTTACACTTACCAACTGGGAAAGGGGAGGTCCATTAGACTAGGCAGAGGAGTGGGGCTGTGAGGTTGTCCTAGCAAGAGCCTGAGGAGACCCACCAGGGAGCTCACACAGATGCCCTTCAAAGTTGTCCCAACTTGTGGTGAGAAGGAAAGAGCCTTTAGACTCTTAGCCAGTTAGTCACTGGATACAGGCCACCTAGGAAAGGGGGCATGAACTTGGCAAAAGCAGCTCTCTTAAGCAGAGGGTCTTCTCAAGAGGGCTGACCAGCTGATGGCTGTCAGCAGCACTTCCAGTAGCTGGGGAGTAAGCCCTTAATTTCTGAAGGTGCTGGGAGTGGTGTGATCTACCACTGTTATAATTATGACTTATTAAAATATTCCCTGGGACGCCTGGGTGGCTCAGTTGGTTAAGCAGCTGCCTTCGGCTCAGGTCATGATCCCAGCGTCCTGGGATCGAGTCCCGCATCAGGCTCCTTGCTCATCAGGGAGCCTGCTTCTCCCTCTGCCTCTGCCTGCCACTCTGTCTGCCTGTGCTTGCTCTCTCTCTGACAAATAAATAAACAAAATCTTTAAAAAAAAAAAAATATTCCCTATGTGAGGGCTAATGTTCTAGTTTTTTAGGTTAGGTGATTGAAAGTACTCTGGCTTGGCTCTCTAAAAGCAATGACCCAGACCACGGGATTTTAGGAGGTCCCCTCCTATGCTAAGAATCAAGTCTGTCCTTCCCTTGACCAGCTCCTATAGCAGCATGCAGAGATAATTCTTTCCCACGACCAGAGGCTTTCTGAAAGCCTCAAAACCGGTAAGAAATTCATCTTACATTTGGCAATGACAATCAAGGAGAAAGTTTTCATTTTGAGAGAAATAAAATTTTAGTCAATAACTTTTTAGGTCTTTTGTCTTTTCAAGCAAATGAATACTTTTATTAACTTTTTTTTTTTTTTTTTTCTTTTTAATACACATGGTAGGGTTTTGACCTCAAATACTTGTCAGGTCTGCTACTCAAATGAACTTATAGCAGGACGATTTATGAACTTCAAAAATACCTAGTCCCTGTCCAGTTTAGGGTCCAATGCAGATAGTCCTCCTTTCCTTTCCCAGCCCCTCAAGAGCCTTTGCAAATATCTCTTCCATTTTATGCCCAGAATCCCCTGAAATGCATCAGAGTATTACATCAATGTGTACAAAACCAAGATCTTGTCTCCTATTCTAGGTTCCACATCAAATAAAGCTGAGTTGGGTTGTCCAAACCAACTGACCAGATAGGTTACATCAGATAGTGTGCCACATATAATTTAAATTTTGAACAAAATACATCTCTTCTCCTTTGGTCTCACACAGAAATCAAAGTCCCGAAATACAGACACTACCATCGTCCCACTGCCTTCTGATTCATCAGTCCTAGCCAGATCAGCTCCATTCACATTGCCAGTTGACGTCTGGTCCCTTCTTCAGCTTCTTCAGCAGCTGCTGCATGAAGTAATATTCTAGAAGTAATGCAGCTCCTTCAGCAGCTCCAGAGCTGGAAAACTCCAACTCTTGAGTCTCATGTGACACAGACTCAAAGTTCCAGGGAGCTATCAAGTCACACAAGAAAGCACAAAGCACCTCAAAATTTAGAAATAACCAAAGCCCAAGAACAAACGTGACTGCCGCAAGAGCTTACAATCTAGGCCCTAATTCTCGTGTGAGAGCATCTTCCAAATGAAAAGTACTTCCCCAAACAAAAACAATGAACGGTCAGAACTTGTTTTGAGGTCATCCACCACAGACCATAGCAGAAACGTAGTGTAAGTGAGGACAAAGTGTAGACAGAGGAAAAAGGAGAAAACAAAAGGCTCTCTGGTTTCAGCTTCTCAAGGATGTCAGCCAATCTCCATCAGTTGACCAGAATCCGCTGGCTGGAAACCTGAAGCGCAGATGGGAGGAAATCATCGTTAAGAGGTTAAAATCCTGTAGAAAAACAGCAACCAACGCCCCTCACCAACCCGACCATGCGAGGTGCCCCCTGCCCCACTCCAGTCTTCCAGCAAATTCTGAGACCGTCCCGGAGCGGCCTTCCCTCTCCACCCCTTTCCTCAGTGGCCCCTCACGTGACTTAGTTTTCCTACAGGCCCGCACGACTGTCGTCCTCCAAGAAACCGTTACTCTGGGCCCCAACCGGACACACGCCCACCACCTTCTCTGCCACTACCCTGGCGACCGACCCCGCCGACCCGGGTGCGAGCCGGGCTCGCGTTCACTTCCCCGCCCCGCCCCAGTCCCCCAGCCGCCCAGACGCCGCCCCGCCTCACCGCCCGCGCTCCTTCAGGACGACTCGCTTCTCTCTATCCGCCGCACCAGCTCCACCAGCATCTCTGCCATCTTCGCGATCTCCTTGGCCTTCTCCTCGGCCTTCTCGCACCTCTTGGCCGCCCTGCCGTCCACGCCGTCGCCGGGGTTCTGCAGATGGTTGAGGGCGCTCTCCTCCGAGGCCTCCACCTGCGTTTTGATCTGGATGAGCATATTGTCCATCTCCCACAGCTTGCTCCTGTTCCGCAGGTAGGCTCTCCCGTGCTCCCGCGTGAGGGCCGCGATGTCCTCGCGCATCTCGTTGATGACGGGCAGCAGGAACTGCTCGAAGTCCTCCTCGGGCTCCAGCACTTCCACCTCCTCGGGCTCCGCCAGCTCGACGATGTCCAAGGGCCTCATTCTCGCCGCCTCTCCGAACCGCGCTGCCGACGTCTGCTGCGGAGAGAAAATGGAGACTCGCTAGGCTTACCGACACACTTCCAGAATATTCTTTAAAACTTTTACCCTTTTTAAACTTTTCGCCTCACAGAAGCCACGGAAACGAGCGACTTACGAGCAGAGAAGCCGCGAACAAAATGGAGTCCCAGCCGTCAACCAGCGCCCTGCGCGTTGCGGCCCCTTTCACGACACGGCCCTGCCTCTTTACGGCCACGCCTCTCGTAGAACGAGGCGCGGGCCGCGCGCACGTCAATGGGGCGGGGCAATACGCCCCGTGGCCGCGAGCGCGCACGTATGCGCGCACGCTCTTCCTCCTTTCCACCCTTACCTATGTGGTTTGATCCTCCGTCACCCTGGTTTTGGGGTGATTCCTTCTGGGTGTACCTTCCTCTTGGAGGGTTTCTGGAACACTGAGTTACATATTTTTAAGTTATAAGTACGATCTTCCTACAATAAACAAAGATAGAAAGGCTGTGGCATCCCCAGAGTAACTCCAATAGCCCCTTCGGCTTTAGTAAGCAGCCAGACCCAGACCCGTCTCAGCTGGCTGAAAGATTAGTTTTCCATCTTCGAATTACAGTCGAAAATGTCTGGGTGTCGTTTCCCCCAGGGCCGGAGACCTCCCCCCACCTCCAGGGTCCTAGGCCGTGTGTGGTACCTTCATCTTGAGGCCCCACCAGACCCAAAGCTCAGTGGAGGTGAAGAGGGTTTTTCGGGCTAGCCTTGACACCTTTTACCTAGTTGAGGGTTCCCCCGGAGTCTTCTTATTCAGCTCTGTGTCCCCTAAGCCCTGAGCAGAGTTTGGCACACAGTAAACTTGCTTTAACATTTGCTACAATTTTAAGAAAAGAAATTAATTTTCTAGTCTGTTGACCCAGTCACAAAACAGCAGCAAAAACGTGAGGAATCCAGCTTGCACAACTGCCTTTGGCTTCTGTTTTCCTGTCCATTAAACGGAACCAAATCCTAGTTACTGAGTATGGCACAGTTAAGAAGGAAATAGTCATGAAAATGCTTTGTAAATACCAAACATATACACATGTGGAGTCCTTATATTTTAAACTTTTCTCAGGATTTTCATATTTTGGCTGCTCTATTAAAAATCCAACTTTTGGTCTTCCTTGGTATATCAGAGGCAGCTAGCTCATAAGTGTTTTTTGTATGCATAAAATAAGTGGTTCAAACAACAATGAGATACCACTACACCCTTGTTAAAAATCCCCAAATGCAGAAAACAGACACCACTAAATGCTGGTGAGGAAGTGAAGCAACAGGAACGCTTTGTTCCTTGCTAGTGCAAATGCAAAAATGGAACAGCATCACCTTGGAAGACAGTTTGGCAGTTTCTTACAAAACTAAGCATACTCTTCCTATATGGTCCAGCAGTTGTGGTCCTTGGTATTTCTACAAATGACCTGAAAACGGACATCCACACAAAAACTTGCACATAGATGTGTATAGCCCCTCTATTCATACTTGCCCAAATAGGGGAGGATTTAAGGGGTCTTTTAATAGATGAATGGAAAAATAAACTGTGGTAATTCAGAGAGTGGAGCATTATTTGGCTCCATGAAAATGAATAAGGGGAAACCTCACTAAAACCGAATCAGGAGGTTCTGCAGGGGGAGCTCTTATGGCCTCCAGTCAAGAGCAAATCCAACAGGAAGAGGCATAAGGAACCTTGCAGGTAGATACTACTTCAGCTACTACATGACTATCCTTAGCAGGAGGAGGATGGGCTTACTACTTCTGTAGCAATAGTCCAGCCAATAAGGAGCTGCTATACTTGGGGCACCTGGGTGGCTGAGTGGTTTGAGCCTCTGCCTTTGGCTCAGGTCATGATCTCAGGGTCCTGGGATCAAGCCCCACATCAGGCTCTCTGCTTAGCGGAGAGCATGCTTCCCCCTCTCTCACTGACTGCCTCTCTGCCTACTTGTGATCTCTCTCTCTGTCAAATAAGTAAGTAAAATCTTTAAAAAAAAAAAAGAAGCTGCTATACTTCAAACTCCTGGTTTACGCCAATGGACTTTCTGTTTTCAACAGCCCTCCTAACTTCCCCTTTCCTCTGTAAAAGAGTGTTCCTCTTCTTTGCAGGGCATCCACACCTATGGTTTTGCTACTGGTTGCTTGTCTTGGGTTGCAATTCTCTGTTGTTCTGGAATAAACTAATCTTTCGCTGGTATAATAACCGGCCGTTTTATTTTCAATGTTGACAAGGCTCTTCTTTCAGGTATCAACATGAATTTCTGCTCTCACTTCCTTAAGATCTTTGCCCATTTGCTAAATGAATGAAAAGAGGAGTTAATAGCATTTAAAATATTTTCAGTAACCTTGTTAATGTGTTGTCTGCTTGATCTATCAATTATTTCATTATGTCGGTGGATTTGTTAACTTCTTGTAATGCTGTCACTTTTTCTGTACACACATACAACATACGCATGTAGACATTGTATTCAAAGTACAGAGGCTAGAATCATGATATAATTTTTATCAGTTGAAGTTTCAGGAAGGTTTTTCTTTTTTCCCTCAAGTCTGCCTGGCCAATTTTCTCTTTCTTTTTTGCTTTAATAAAATTAATATTTTCACTGCAACTTGTTTTCACATTTAAATTCTCTGAAATTGTGCTACATCTTTCATTTGTTGTGATTTAATAACTTGATTCACACTTTGTAGTGTATTCACATTCACATTCACATTCTTAGCATTACCTGAAAGAGTGGCAAATCTCAAAAATTGATGGCTTTTTAGGTTTGACAACATCTCATCTTATTTCAAAATTTTCTGTGATTTTTAAAAAAGATTTTATTTATTTATTTGACAGAGAGAGAGAGAGATCACAAGTAGGCAAAGAGGCAGGCAGGTGGGGGGAGTAGGCTCCCACTGAGCAGAGAGCCCGATGCGGGGCTTGATCCCAGGACCCTGAGATCATGACCTGAGCCGAAGGCAGAAGCTTAACCCATTAAGCCACCCAGGCACCCCAAAATTTTATGTGATTTTGCTACTTGCTCAGTTATCTGTTTTCTATTGTATCTGATCCTGTACCTTGCTCTAGAACAGGATGTTCTCAACTGCAGGTGATTTGTCCCCCAGGGTATATTTGTCAGAGTCCAGAGGCATTTTTGACTGTCACAGCCTGGGGAGAAGGGCTGCTATTGGCATGTAGTGGATAAAGTTCATGGATGTTCTTAGCATTGCCTGGTTAATCTTGAAGTTTTGTTTGTTTTTTTCACTTTTAATTTCTTTACATATTTCATAAAAAGTCATTTTATATTTTATATCTGATAATTCCAGTATCAGTTGCTTTTTGTTTCTGTGACTCATTATGGTGTTTTGTTTCTCTCTCTCTCTCTGTGTGATTGTGCATGTATAATATTTGACTGAACTTAATTTGGAGGAATCCTAATAGGCCTTCTTGAGAAAGCTACTCCAGGAGGGATCTGAGGTTGTTTCCGTTGTGCACAAACCTCCAGATCTGGTTGAGAGCAATCCCATAATTAAAAATCTCTGAATTCTTTTTTTCAAATGTGTGTTTAGTTATTTCCATCTATAATCAGAATATACAAACTGGTGCCTTTTCACAGTTTGGAAGATTTTCTTCTTCTTCTTCTTCTTCTTTTAAAGATTTTATTTATTTATTTGACAGACAGAGATCACAAGTAGGCAGAGAGGCAGGCAGAGAGAGGCGGGAAACAGGCTCCCCCGCTGAACAGAGAGCCCGATGGGGGGCTCGATCCCAGGACCCTGAGACCATGACCCAAGCCGAAGGCAGAGGCTTTAACCCACTGAGCCACCCAGGCACCCCAGATTGGAAGATTTTCAATGGCAGACCTAGTGTCCCATCCCCCATATTTCTGCTATTGGTAGCTCTGGATTTGATCCTTGTTCATACATTTGGTTTTAGTATTCACTTCCCTCCTGGCCACCTTTGGGGATTTCTAATATATTCTTGCAAGTTCAGCAATACATTTAAAGGAAATTTTGTTGTAATTTATGCACCCTCTGAGTGTGGTAGAAGAGCATTTTAGAAAATCTTATCCACCATAACTCCAGAAGCAGATGGCCTCCTTCTAAAGTGCCTTTCCTGCTCTCGCATCCCATCTAATGCATGGCTGAGAAGTCACAAGGACATCAGGACTTTCAGGATGCTAGAACTCTACCCCTCCTGGGGCATTAAGAGAGGAGGTACTCCAGGAACCCAAAGCTGTTTGCACTACGAGGACCTGGAGACCAGCAAGTTCCACCTTACCCCCTTTCCAAGAGGACACGTGGCAGAGATGGGTAATGAAATTAATTGGGCAGAAGCTTATGACCACCTCTTCACCCTCCTGATGGAGTACCTAGCATTTTTGACACTCAGAGGGGATAATTTTAATATCCTCACCTCTCTATGACAAATTATTTGCAGTAATAAATGGGAAATAAAACTATTTGTGACATTGTGGGCATTTCATATTCCAAAATAGATCCAGGTATCGCTTCAATGCCTCCTCTTTTGCTTAAAAATTTTCTTTATTGAACTCCATGGGGGTCAGTGTCTTTCAGAGTACCCCCTTCACATTTCTTAATGAAATTCAGAATCATTGTGGTCCAGTTGTTGGTTTCACAACACAAGGGGGTTCAAGTTCCTCCAAGTTCCTAAAGGAAGGACAAGCACAACTATTTATTCAGTACCTTTGATAGCTACCTAACAGTTTGATCTTTGCTCTTATGATTTGTGAAATAATGGGAAATCTATATATCAGTCATTGTTCCAAAACCCTAAGTGATAAGAGCCCTAGGAAAAATTATTGTTCTTATATTTAGTCTCTGAATCTGGTTCCTGACAGAGCTCCTACGTCCCTTGGAATTTCCTGGGTGATGGGTGTATCTTTCCTTCTACTGATGGGACTCTCGGTGGGCTCCTGGGTGGGGGCCAGTCTCTGATCCAGAAAGATTGACCCATGATTAGAAGTTTGAGACTTTTCAGCCCCATCCCATATTCTGCAGAGAGGGGAGAGAGGCTGGAAGTGGGGTTAATAATTGATTAGGCCTACATTATGAAGCCTTTGTAGAAATTGAATCTTATGGGTTCAGAGAGCTTCTGGATTGGTGAACACATCTACATGCAGAAGGTGATGTATCCCCACTCCATGGGGGCAGAA